GTGAATGATGCTTTAATATACCTGCAAGAGTAGTGAAAAGAGCTATTTAGTATTTTCATGAAATAACTTCAAATATTTGTCAGTTACTCGTGCCAAAACCACTCTGATACCTGTCTTTTTTTTTTCCCAAAAATTATGTATTTATTGAAGACAAAATAAAAACATTGGAGCCTTATGAAAATCTGGCTTGCATTTTCAGTTAATCTCAAGTAACAGTATTTTAATGAAAATTCTGGCACGCTTATTTATTGCTGAATTGATGTAGCTGGAATATGAAGAAGTGTTTATTTTCTCTAAATCTATTAGTTTGAACAGAATAACAATGTTACAACATATTGGTTTGTTGTTGTTTTCTTTGGTGGTTGCCCTAACAAGCTCTTATTCTCCTTTCCACAGGAGACTTAATTCAGCTTTTCTTCAATATCTGTCATGGATTTTAACAAACTGTACAAATAGCTGGGTGGTAGTGGACCGTGGGAGGCAAATTACACAGTTCTGATTTTTGTGAAGTATGAATACTGTAGCCAAAATTGCACTTTTAATTTCAGTTACTTTATCAAATTAGTAATTACTGTAGTTGTAAGAGGAGTGTTTTAATAAGAGCAGAAAACAAGATGCTTTGTGAAAGAATTTCTTATGAAATGGCTTCTTTGTTGAAAATGCTGTGATTTAATAAAAAACAGTGTAAGCTAATTGTAGGATGTTCAGGCCATCTACTCTCCTGAAATTGTTCTCTGTTGTTTTAAAAGTCAGTGCTAATACTTACCATAATTATGTTTTAATTCTGAGAAGCTGCCTTCATTAAGCAAGGGGCATTTACACCTGGATACTCAGGAGACATCTAAATAACTAGCCTTTTCAAATTGCTAGGAGCTATTAGCACACAGCTAGTTGTTTTTATTTCTGCATGTGAATGGATTTATTCAGGTTGGTCTGTTTGTATGTGCAATATTTGCTTTTGAGAGTCAAATTTATATGTTTTTATTTTTTTCTTCATGGCAAAGTTCTTATTGCCTTAATTGCCTCAGCACTACTGCAGTGAAGAAGTGGTGAATGAGGGCTAGAAAATGCTAAATTCTGAAAAAAAAAGTATTTGTTTTCTGACACCAGCAGGTATTTGGAGAAGCAAATAAGTTGCTCAGTGGGTGAGGAGACTGCCTTTTGTATTTTATTTCTCAGTGTTGGGCATGCAAAAGCTGTCAAGTGAAAGAATATCAAAATAGTGCTAATCTGAATATTAAATTGGAATTTGTAAAGGTCTTCTGTTTGTGATGGATTTTGCTGAGAATGTTGGTTAGTGTTTTTGTGCCCAAAGGAGACTTAGATGGAGTTGGTGGGCTAGGGTATGTCATTTGGAGGTGGGATGCAAAACAGGCCACTTTTGGACTTGTAGTTTTTATGCCAGATGTATTTCAGATGTGATTGACTGTCTTGCATATACAGAATAAATGTTGCTTTGGAAACAATGACTCAGTAGTTTTACCTGACATGGATAAGACAAGTCTTTGCTTCCTCTTCCATTCTCACTCTTGCAGATTATCAGAATTTAATTTCCAGAATTCAATCCTAAAATTGAATTTGCCCTAACATTTGCTGTTGTCAGTTTAAAATAATAAATTTTTCTTTTACTCTTTTTATTCCAAAGTAATAGGGGGGTTCTGCAGGATATAATTCATTCCTCCAAAAGATAAATGTATGTGTCTTTTTCATATAGAGAAGTTAAGTTTGAGGTGTAAAATTGTGTGCCTTGAAGTTGAGGAGGATGCTTAGCACTCTTTCTGTTTATTGTTGTGCCAGACTTTGATGTGGATTAAAAAAAAAAATACAAACACACAAGAAATTAATTCTCCCCCGTTTAACAATAGAGAAAATTTTTTTCAAGTGAATTTTTAAAATGTGTAACATTTGTGCTTGAATTTAGAAATGTCGATAAGGTGCTGGAGTAATTACTAGACTGAAATAATTTAATTTAAATAATTTTTTAAAACCCTTTCACTTAAGATATAATGTGGGGCCTTTATTCAAAGTGGTGGAAGGATTAATTTTTTAGTTTTGGGGTTACTTATTTTCTAGTTGGTGCCTCGTATTTATGGAATTTTAAAGTTAAGGACAGAGATCAGAGTTTAATTGTGAAGGTAACTATTGACAGAACTCTTTTCCATCATCAGAAAGACTTTTATTGTTGCCTTAGTGGATTGCACAGAATATACTCTGTACAAAGGAAACTTGTTTTAATGCATACCTTTAAAAATATTTTCTTGGTTCCTTTAGGTGGCTAAAAGGAAAGATTATTTGCCTTTCTCATGTCTTTTTTTTGTGTGTATGTTTCTTAACCAAAGGAAGTGAGTGATAAATCTGCAATTGTCTGGTTGAAAGCTTTGCAGGTGGTCTAATTTATCCTTGTAGGCTAAGTGATCTAGAGTACAAGAAAAATTTAATATCTTAAAATTGTTATTGAATTGATGATATCTAACAATTTGTTTTATTAAAATACCTTTCAAAAATCAGCTGAATGTAGATACAATGTATTAGAGAAGTATTATCTAGTGTATTATTTTTCTACAGTAAAAATGAAAACATTTCTCACTTGAGTAAATATATTCTACTCTACATGTTTAATTTTTTAGAGACGTGATGCGTCTCACTGTTTGGCATAATTTTACTCTCCATCCCCTCAACTCTGGTCATATTTATTTTTTTAATAACTTGTGCTAAGCAAGATTATCATTTTTTCTGTAATCAATTTTTTTTTTCTTCATAGTTAATATATGTTTTGTTTCTGAAGCAGAGTGGTTCATGATGGTTTTTTTTACAGGAATGTGGGTCTTATAAATACAGTTCAAGCTTTCCAACTGGAACTTGCTACACGCCAAAAAATCTTTGTGCTTGTGCTCAGTCCAATTTATGTCTTTCCAATAGAATATTCTAAATGTAAATTGCAATTTGGCATCCTAAGATAAATCACTTCCAAAAATACTAAATTTTCATGAGATATGAAAGCATTTTATCTTTACAAATAAGACTTTTAATACAAAAATACTACTATAAAAACTCCAGTGCTCAACTCTGCTCCAGATTTATTCCTTTTCTAAGTTTGATCCTTAATGCTATATATTCATATTTAATATGTATTAGAATGTAAATGTATAAGAATGTAGATGTACATATCTCAGGTCAGTGTTTCTTCAGGGGAAAAAAAACACAAATGAGAGCAGTCTGATACTTGCTTTGTATCTTAAATTGGACTATATTAGTTAAAACAGAAGGTAACTTCCGTAATTTCCATTTGTGTGGACTTAGTAAATATATTTGGTGTATAGGGATCTCTGTGCAACCTGTTATGGGGTCAGTGTCTCACTTAAGAAAATAAACTTCCTAGGCTTTTACTGGGAATTTTGTGCTGGAAAAAAGATTGTTCCCTTAGAGAAAAAAGATTTTTGGGACACTAAAGTATTAAATGCTCTGGTTCTCCTGTGTGGCTTTCTCATGAGAGAACAGCTTTTCATGAAAGCAGCAGGTTGATGTTGACCAAAAGAGTAATTTAGAATTGCCACTTAGTTTTGTTAGTGCTCAACAAAATCTTGTTTTATTTGGGTTTTGTTTCATGAAACCCCATAGATGATAAAATTATCACATCTGGTTTGAAATAATTCTGTTGGTTTTATACTTTAAGTTGTACATATTCTTTCACTTGTGAGTTTCAAATCTTGAGGGTTCTTCCTCTCTTTTCCTGAAGTAACTGCATGTCTGTTTCTACTCTTTAGAGCTTATAATTACTATTCTGTAGCTGTCAGGAGAGTTGAATGTGCTTCCCACATCAGTGGACTATTTCTGTTGAGCATATACACAGACGCCTCCAAACTTTGTGCCGTAATGTCTGTGGAGTTGAATAGAGCTGTATGGTACACTTCTGCATAGGCTAGTTAATGAAATGGTTTTTGTTCTGTGGCCTCTCATCCCATGTTATGTGGATGTGCCATCTACTTCACCATTCATCTTCGAGACTGGAGCTCGCTTAGGAGCATATGAGCTTGGTCTTTTTATCTCTGTGTATCTGTGTCTTGCTACAAAACTATGTATGAGCTATGGAAGTTAACATGTATAAAGGGATGATACTGCCTAATGGCAGTTTGTAGTGTCTCGAATCACTGTCTGGGTAATGCAGAAACAAGCTGAGTAGATACTTGGTTCAGTTTTGGCATTTTGGTAGTCGTTGCCTTAGGTTGAATTCTTAGTTTGCTAGTAAAAAGAAGTCAGGCAGTTGTATCTGAGGCCTAGCTGACTGTAGTAGTGTTTGCTGCTTGTGCATGTTTTAGATTTTCCTGTTCTTGAACAGTATAATGGTTGGTTATGGAAAAGTGCATAGAAAATGTTTAGCTTACAGTGAATGGAAATGTATAGTTCAGAGGAGAGCTTGTTTCTACTGGAGGGAAAAGCGGTCATGAAACGATATACTCCTGGAACTAAATTGCAAGTTAGCTTATTTCACTTGACTGTCTCACAGAAATCTTTAACATAGATTACTTCCTTAAATTTGTTATTGAGTCAGTGTGTGAGCTAGCAGTTTACCTATGGGTAGGGGAAGGAAAAAAGGAATGCCATAGTATAAAGATGCTGGATTAGCACTAAAGCAGTGGCCTGTTGATGCAAGGTGGTATTTTAAAGAGGTCTTTTTTTTTTTCTGTTTGGTACATAACCTACTGTATTGCAGTGGTCCTCTAAAGATTGTTTGTGTTAAAACATTTATCTGCTCCTAAAAATAGTTTTGATTCTTAGATCTGTGTTTGAAACTATCACTGTATTTTCACCTTTCAATATAGTGTTTATGATGCATCAGCACTGTATTATTATTACTAATGTGTTCATTATGCAAAAATGCCCCATTCCCATGTAAAAGAGGAAAAAAACCACAATCGCATTATTTAGTAAGCAACTAGTAAGCTGAGTCAGAAGAATCTGTATCTTTTGCAGATAAATGCTTACTCCATGTTCTCTTTTTAAGGAAGACTAACGGCTCTGAAGGGCTTAAGCCTGTTTGAAAAAGATGTTTCCTCTAAAAGATACTGAGATGGGTGCCTCCACTTTCTTCGCCTCAGCTCTGCCACATGATGTTTGTGGAAGTAATGGCCTTCCTCTGACACCGAACTCCATAAAAATTTTGGGGAGATTTCAAATCCTTAAAACAATCACCCATCCCAGGCTTTGCCAATATGTTGACATTACCAGAGGTAAACATGGTGAGTATCAATTTTAAAAGGAAATTTTATGTATGGTTACAATTATATTTTTGTGAAAATATACGTAAAGGTCACTGAGCAGAATATTGCTATTATAGCCACCAGAAAGTGTCTGACTGTGTGCCCTTGTGACTGGCACTACTGGTGCTTTTGTTTCTTCTCAACAGAGTCAAGGCAGAGGTTAGTTGTCTGCCTTCTTTTGTGATGTGTAGTGCTAACGAATAAAAGCTAAGAACTTTCTTCCTTTTATACCTCTTTGTAAAGTTCTTGTGCTCAATTGCTGTGCCTAGTCTGTGTGAGACATTGAAATACATGTATTTTTTATGTTTGAGCTCTGACACCTGTTCTAATCTTGTGGACATTTCCATGTAACAGGTAAGTTTCTTGTACTTGCTTTGCAGCTCTTGTTGTCTCTCTCATCTTGTGTCTTCACTGCAAGCTTCCCTTATTTGTTTTTATTCTAGCTCTTTAGGATCTCTCCCACTAAAAATTACTTTATTCTAGTACAGATTTTTATTTGAGTAACTGTTTTCACATTTATTGTTAGCTCAAGTAAGGCTTCAGTTGTATTTTTTCTGCTCCAGATGATCTTACTCAGTTGCAAGCTCAGCAGGAGTACAGCTCTTAATTTGCACAGAAAGGCTGCAACACCTGTGACAATTTAAGTGATTGCCCCCTCTAACTTTTAAATCAACAGTGTTCCCATATAAAAAGGCCTTGTATGTATTTGTTTGTTTAGCTACAAATTTTCATAAAGTAGAGCAAGTAATTTTTTTCCCTTTACAATGCAGTATGATAGGATGATTCAGATTTTTAGAAAATGACGATATTGCCAGCTCCAAACACTGAAGTATTCCAAAGAGCAGGGATGTGTGTTTTCATTTGCTCTCAAACTTGTAATTTTTTTATTTTTCTGCAGTCAGGAGATCTACAAAGTTTATTTATTTTCATCTTATTTTTGCTAGTACCTGTTTAAATGGAAACTGGGATTTTCTTACATTGCTTGGGATGAAAGGTTAAACATTAACTAATGCAACATTTAGTAAGTTAAAGGTCTGGTTAAATTGGAAAATGTCATCTTTTTGACAATGAAGAGTCAATGAGATGAAGGTTTATGAGTGTATGTAAACATGAAGGAGAAAATACCTTCTGATTATTGAAGTAACTTGAATAGCAAATAAAATGTCTAACCATGAAGCTGGGAGACTGTTCTGTTCCTAGTGGTTGAAATAGCAGTTAATAACTTTCAAATAATGTAGCAAATTTTATTATTTTGATACTGACAGAATTTTTCATTTATCAATCCTCTGCATAGTGATTTAGTATTATTTTTCTCACAATTGTCAGTTTTTACTCTTACAGAGAAATATGAAAGCAGGCTAAGAAAACAATGCAAAAAACCCCCAAATTTAGATGTATCCATTGTCCCCAGAAGGCCCTCAAAAGGGGAATATAAAAGTAATAAAGAACATTCAAACTGATATTTTAATATTATTTTTTTCTTTTGATGGGAAAAATAAACTCTTTGTAAATCTTTGCTAGCATTATAGAAGGCCTTTCCAGATTTTTTTCTTCCAAAGAAAGCTTTAGTTGTCCTGTGATTTCAAAAAGGAGAAGCAAAGAGCTGAGTAACAAGCATTCCAACCTTAACATGACGACTTGTGTTCTCAAAGTATTTTCCATCTTTATCTTACTGTTATTATCTTCTTATAAAAATGTGTTTGAAGTAGTTTTGTCAGATTCATTTTTTAATCTGAACACTCACTGCTAGCTGTTCTATGAGTAGTGGAAGTAGGAAAGCCTGGCTTCTTTAGGAGTTATCTCACACCCTCATGGAACATCTTGCACCTTTGTCTTTTACTACTTTGTAATTCCTCTTGTCAGTGCAGCAATTTTTTGTCTTTTCTTCTGTATTTAGAGCTAACCTTCAGAACATGTGGGACCCCTAAAAATCCTATAGCTGTTTGTTGGGCAAGAGGGACTAGAGTTAGTAATGTGCTGTTTGTCTCATCAGGACTGCAACTCCTCTCTTGCTCTGAGTCTCTTCTCTCAAAGCTGGTGTTATTTTGAGTGTCTCTTTCATCAACTCAGCTACAGATTTCTGCAAATTTATAGATGCTTATCTTCTTCGCAAACTCTATTTGTAAGTCAAATCTGACTGATGTTGGCTGAGCAGTTTAGCATTTACTAGAAGGTTACTGAATGGATAAATTTACAGTACTTTGCATGAGGAAACAGGAGAGAGAATCTACTGTATCTCAAAAATCAGAATGATGGTGATATCCAGAAGTTTTACATCATTCACATTTAATTACATGTAATTTTCTGTACAATGTACCTCAAAATACTTTTAACATCTGCCAGGTAGGTAGACTGTGATGTCTGTACTTTTTTTTTTTTTTCCACTTAGAAAGGCTGGTTGTGGCAGCTGAACACTGTGAAAATAGTTTGGAAGATTTGCTACGAGAAAGCAAGCCAGTCAGGTAAGGTGTCAAGCTGAGATCAAATTCACTCACAATAATTTCACATATCATCTGTGACAAAGTCCCAGACCTTTTAATAAGCTTTTGCGGTTTATATAAATTTTACTCTGTGGAAGTTTAACCTGAAGATATTGTTTATCAGACATATCTGAAAAAATGAGTACTTAATTCCGTAGGATTCTAAAAGCTAGAAGAGTTATGGGGAGCTTGCTTGGGGTACTTTGTAACTCATAAAATTCTGTCTTGTAGCAGTAGTTTTGGGGTTTACTTTTTGAAATAAAATCAGACCCATGACAGGATAAACATCTTCAACATCTTCCTAAGAATTAATTTTAAGATTTTCTGTCTGCCAGATAATAAAATACGACTTTCAGTAGGAAGAAAAGAATTTGGTTTCTGTTTTTTATATGCGGAAATGTGTTAATTTATTAAATAGAAACTGGGACAGGATGTTGGATATATATTTCAGGAAAGTGGTAAGTGCTTTAAATTTGGGTTATCAGTCACTTCAGCAAGGCTGTGGTCAAAACCAAGTCCAAAGGCTGAATGTCAACAATACTTGTTTTCATACTGGGATGTATAAAGTTGTTGAGATGTATCTTTAAAGAAGCAAGGAAACAAACTCCCAATCAGACTTGTTGCTGATAGTGTTATCTGTAATGTTAAAGTCTGTCACTGTTACCTTTGGAGCCAAAAAGTGATCTCTTGTCCTAGACAATAAATATGAGCAGTGAAAGAAGAAAAACATTATTTCCATTTTGATGCATTATAGGCTAACTGGTTATTTGCAGAGCACACAAATACATAGATATAAAACACATTTACATAAATCCAAAGTATATTCCTGGTAGTTTCTGAGAAGTTGATAACAAGCATTAGGTTTTATCTCTCTTGATACATGTGCAAGCATAAACATGGTGATTACTCAGTAAAATAACAAATTTTTATGTGTCATCCCAGGTAGCCTTAGGCATCTCAGATGGGCTGTATTTGAAAGTCCAGACTGACTTTCTGTGACTCAGCCCAAATTAGATTTTTATAAAGGGAGTATTACTGGATCTGTAACCTTTTGAGCCCTGCAAGCCCCAAATAGGATGCTACCCATGTTGTCTGACTGAGATAAGTTAAGTGCAAAATGCCCTGTGCCTTTGTGTTAGCCCTCTGTGAACTTAGTTTGAGGAATGTTAGGCAAATGTAGCTTCCATAAGAGATACTTAACTATAAAGGACTTTTCATGTGTGATATATATTACAGCCTTTCACACAGTTTTGCATCAGGTTCCTATTGTGCAAAGCTTCAGAAATAGTTAAAGCATCAGAAGCTCTTTACTCTTTCATTCAATTCTCACACTGTGCTTTGAGCACATGTATCTTGGTGTCAGATGAGAGGCAGCCCAGACTGCTGCCTCTTGACTCTTTTTGAAAAAACATGAATGTAACTAATTTTAATTTGCCTTGAATGCTTCATACAGTATACTTATGTAGATTCTCTGACAACTTTTGTTGCCGTTTAGTCCTGCAGCCTTAGAATTGCAAGGGACAAGGTGTCCTTTGCTAAAGGGGAAAACGTATTTCTCTATCATAGTTCAATAAAACTTCCTCATGTACAACTTTGGTTTTTTGACATCCTGAGAGAAGTTACTCAGTTTCTGACAGTTACCTCAGCTATTGGAGCTGTGGCTTCATTGAGAGTAAATGCATAAACCTGGCTTTATTTTTTTCCTCTTAGCTTGAGAGAGGTTTTGCTGAAATAAGTTATTCTACTGTCTGATCATTTGTTTAAAGAGCTGACTAGGATTTCTTCTTATAACACCTAAGGTACAGACCTAAAAAATAGCCTATATGTATGTTCATAGCTTTAAGAGACATTAGTGATTCATCTACTGTAAAGTACAGCTTTTGCAGTAGTAAGTAAAAGATAAATTATGTTCATTGCAAATTAAGTTTCTTGCATGAATGATGTTTTCCCTTCTATTTTTTAATGAAAGCAGACATTTTTGGTTCTTATGTGAGACCCATAAATTTCCAGAAATAACTCTGTGGACCAATTCCCAGTTATTAGTTATGTGATCTGTCTATATCAATTACTTTGGAGGGAAGAATTTGGCTTTTTCCATGTATTCTGATTGTAATGGTCAATGATAGTTTAGCTGGTTACACATCCGGAGTTGATGTGTATGCTATTGCAATTAATTTAATAAATTGTTTATGGAATGCGAGAAGCTGCCCTTCTGGTTTCTAGATTAATTTTCCTTATGCTTGCCAGTAACCTAAGTCCTTTGCACCTGTACCTCAAGCTGATGTAAAATCGGCAGGAAATCTTATGTTAGTGCTGAAATTCAAGACATTACCTTATGGACTGTCTGTCTTTCCATACATACTGGAAAGTGGGCCATACAGCTGTTGGGTAGTTATCTGCAGTTAATCTTTCCTGAAGTCATGCATTAAGTGTAGCATACATTCCTTAGTATACAAATTATATTTTAAAAAAGAAATGCAATGGAGCTCAGTTCAATGAACTGCAGTTTCACCAAGTTTTCTAATTCTAATGAAACAGTTGCACGAAGTGGCAAAATGCTGGAAATTAGAGTTCTAACCATTTACCTGATCTACTCTTTCACAGTGCAGTAAGTCATTTTACTGAGCATACCACCAAAAATTTTCTAGAACTTGGACTTGTGATATATTCAAGAATTCATTAATTATCTAATAATACTGTAACAGCAGTTTCCAGGAATCGCAAAGGTGTTTTGTCATTGTCCTCAGTTAACATGCTCAACTCTACTTTCAAAGGATATTGTAAGTAAGAGTCCGGTAATTTATGGGCAGATGCCCCTTCTAGGATCCCTAATATGTATGTGCTGCTGCTAGAACTCTCAGGGTAAATATCAAGAGCTCTCAAATGGGTGAAGTAAGTTGCCTCTTTGTAATTCTTGCCATAGGTAACCAGTTGGAGAACAGGAATTTAATATTACTCTTCAGCGTTTACTGTGTTTTGTTCAGGGGATAGCCATAAGGGTATCATAGCTACAATTAATGCTTCCAAAAGTGACATTAATTCCACTTTTCTATACTGATCTTCCACAAGGCATCACAATAAGAGCAGGGGAGGTATTTTTGAGTGGTATACCACAGGGAACTCACACTGCAACTATGGATAAGAGTCTTAGGATAGGGTAGGAAAAGAATTTTAGGCATTGAGATGTTATTTTTTACCAGACTAGTCCCAGTATATCATCCTGTTTGCTGTTACTCTGAGTCAGAGAAAGTATGCACTTAATTTTAGTTTATAACACATTAGTGCAAAATCAGCTCTGACTTGTATTGAGGAGTCAGTTATGTTTTACAAGGACTAGCAATTTATGTACATAGTCAAGCAAAAATAGTAAATACCTGATTTAAGCTCATAATAGTTTACTACTGTTCCAAGGTTTGAAAATGTGTCTCAGTCTGGCTGGCTTCCTCTATGTCATCTTGTGCATGCAAGGTTTTTCCTTGTGAATGAATTGAGACTAACAAAAAATTGTGGTGGGTAGAAGTTTTGTACTTCAGCAGTCTCACTAAGGGTAGTTTTCATGTTTATGATAGTCAAAATTTTAGTAGTTTTTCAAAGTTGCTAGTTGCTTTAGCAGTGTTGATGCCACAGACCGGAATGTAAGATGTGACTCTTTTTAAGGTTGCACATCTTTTAAACACATTTAAAACTACTCCTTCAGGAGTAGTCCTCCAGACGGTGTTAAAGAAGTTATTTTTTTCTGCTCCCGTGCTGTTACAATAGGAGTTGTAAGCTTTTCCTTTTCTGTCATGCTTGAAGTATGTTTCTTCTTTGAAGAAGCTGATCTGCACTTGTATTCATAATAATAAAAATGCCAGCAAATACTGACATTCAGCAGACTTTTGGCATCTACAATAGAGTTCCTGGATTGGTCTTCAGTTTGTGGCTTGGGCAGTCTAAGCCTATTCCTTTCTTCAATAAAATATAGTTGTCATGTGTTTTGAAAGTCATGGTTTTGAAAAATTACTAGTGAACCATCAGAGATACAAGGTATAGTTTGTTATACATGGAACATTTGATGAGAAACAGAGTGTGTCTGCAGCTGTTTACTAGTTTGGAGAAAACACGATCCGACTGATTCGGATGAGTACATTTTATTTGGCTGTATTAAACAGTTGTCTGCTCATTGATTAGATTAGATTTCTTCATGCCATCCTTACAGTTAATGTGCTTTTGGCAAACTTGAAGTGAAACTATGCTACAGAAGAAATTCTTAGATGGTGCAGGGGGGAGGGAGAAGCAATTTCTGAGTAGCCAGGGATTCTTCAAAAATATTGTAGGACAGGTGCAAGTCATCAAAAGTCTGAAGGTTTTACATGATTTGACTTGAAGAGCTGCATATGAACAAAACTTCAAGGGCTGAGTGTGTTCTGTTTTGAATCAAGTCTGTGTTGGAATTTCACATGAGAAATCCATATGTCATAATGAGGCTGCATTTAGCAAAGATAAATTATGAAGTATTAAAATTAAGTAGCATCAACAAACAAACTTCTTTTTTTTTTTTTTTTTCCTAAGCATGTGTGAGAGTCTCTGGTTTGGACAATTAGTGTCTGTAGAGTTTTAATTTCTTGCCCATGCTATACTTCCAAAGCTATGATGAAAGATTAGGCGTTAGTTCAGACTTGTTTATATATTGTCCAGTGATGCTTTTCTTCATATAGGAGTGCTATTTTATTTCTGTAAGTAGTTTTTAGCCTGCCTGCAAGTCTTTCTGTAGCATTCCTTTTAGTGTAGGTTGTCTCCTTTGATTACCATTCCCCTCACAATGAGAAAACAATTGTTTGGAATGAAAAAAGGTTATAGCTTTCATGAGGTAGTTGAGGTGAACATTACTGCTCTTGATATCTCAGTGTCCTTTTTAGGTATGGAACCAAATTCTTTGCTTGTATAGTTGGCTGCAATATTTGATGGCAACACAAAGACATCCCAGAACATATGTCCGTGTC